GGGGGTGCGTTCGGGTCGGGGCGGGGTGGGGGGGTTTACCGGGGGGGTTAGGGGGGGTAGGAACCGTCAATTTTACAAACGGGGCACCGGAGCGCCCCCGGGTCATCCCATGACATTAATAACTTATTTTTAGATAGAAGAAGTATTTTTTTATTTTATGTGTGTGTGTATTAAATTTTCAAAAATGTTTTGAACCAACTAGTACCTCGGAGGATTCAATCCCCGGTCCGGTTCTGAAAACTATGATAAAAACGCTTGAATTAGTACACATGGTCTAACATTTACTCCTTATGTATTTACATTCTCCGTAATTTTTTCCTCCGTCCAATAATAATGTTTCTCGTTTATTATTCACATGGACAAAGTTTATCAACTTTGTTGATGTATTTTCATTGTCTATTTAATAAAATAATATAGTGATGTCACATCTAGTTTTATAGATTTTTCTATCTAGTTTTTAAATATCTAATATTTATATTTTAGTTACATACGGAGTACAATTTTTCTTACTCCCTCTGTCCTATAATGATCTTCTCGGTTCGCAAAACGAAGAAAAGTCCCAAGTTTTTTCAATCTATTTTATTTAAATATTGGTATAGAAATAAAAAATAAAACATACATATTTAAAAACTACACCAAAAGTTCAACAAAACAAGTGGTGACAAGAATATTTTATTTTATCATATAGGCCATGAAAAAACACAAATAAATATAAATTCCCGTAAAGTTGGAATAGTACTCTGGGAAGATCATTATAGGACGGAGGGAGTATAAAATGATCTAAAAATTACTTTAGTCAAACATTCTAATGCACAATATTAACAAGCAATAAAAACATTATTGTTGAAGGTCATTATGGCACCATTTAGCATCAGCGTTAGAGATTAGCGTTAGCGTTTTCAAAAAGCTATCCGACGGTAGCCTTTAGCGTTAGCGTTTTTAGATTTAATCTACACCATTAAAATTTTATCCAAAACGCTAACGCTAATCGAAAACGCTGTTACCAAACGAAAAGTCTATCTAAAAAATACCAAAAAGGAACTACCATAGTGAAAATCTTATCCTCAACCCGAGGAAGTTTACAGACACAGTGAGTAGCATTTTCTGGCTCATAGATGGATTTGATCATTAGAGCAGTAAAATATAATCTAAGGCGAGATTTACCAGCTAAATAGGCACTTGCTTTTCCTTAGAGCTTGAAATCCTCAGACCCAATCAAGCTGTAGCGGTTGAGGTCGTGTGTGGTTGTTGATGGCCGCCACATTGTGGAGCTCCTCCTCTATCAATGATATCTCTGTCTTCGTCTTCACCACCATCATTCGCTCTCGTTTTCATGGTCTTAGACGCAGCTGTTCTACCAGGCAAGTGATTACCCGCGTTTCACACTCTTGAATAGTTGATCGAGTTTTGTGATATGACCATGTGTATTGGCTTGCTTCATCCCTCCCAGGAAAAGAATCATTTATTACTAACTCTTTAAATAACTATTTGTTGTTTTAACTGAATCCAATGCATTCAACCTGTCTGTAACATTTTCTCTCTCATAAAAAGTACCTAATTACCTATACCCAAGCAATCCTGATTCTGAAAAATAAGCATGTCAGCTACCTTTGTTTGCACAATTTATGTTGAAGGTATACGAGAAATGGAAGTAAAATATTTGATGTATAAGCACATGGTGACAAAATTTAGTTGCAGAATCGATTTGGTGCTGCCTAAACACAAATCATTTGGCTGTCTCAATGATTCCTCCACAAACAAAAAATGTAACAACAACTGGCATATGACTACTTATCCGTGTCCAGAATCAAGGCAGTGGCGGCAGCAACATCTGAGATCTTCGCTTTCTTGCAAACAACCTCGACATTCAGATGCTGCTATCAATCAAGAGAAAAATGTTTCTAGAGCAACTTTGATATGGAGGGCAGTCAAACTTCCAATATATTCAGTTGCCTTGATGCCTCTAACTGTTATGTTTCTTAATCTTTACTTTATCTAATACATATAAGCATTCCCTATTGTTTTTGTTTCTTTTTCATTGCACACTGATTCTTGATCGTTCAGGTGGGAAGTGCAGCTGCATATTTGCAAGCAGGCATCTTTTCTGCCCCACGATACTTTTTACTCTTAGCTTCTTCCACTCTTGTCATCCTATGGCTAAACTTAAGGTAGCTACTCATTTCACAACTTTGTATTGGCGGTATGCTAAAAACTGTCTCTAGGCACTACACAAACTGCATTGTCTACCAATACAATTACTTTAGCAGTTGCGTCTCCCTTAAGTCTTTCCTCAGGCCTTTTTATTCAGTATCTTTATAAATATGGCAGCAACGACGTTTATGATTTTGACACAGGAGCAGACAAGAATAAAAAAGAGTCCATTGTGAACATAACTGGCACGTAAGAATCTCTTAATCTGTTTGACAGTACACTTGAATCCCATTCTCTCACTTTGTCCTCTATGTCAATATTATCTTTTTCTTTTGTTTTTTGTCTAGCTTGAATGGAACTCCTTGATCTTGTAAACATAATTGTAGATTTGTCAATGGAGCTAAAAGAGTCATTTTCGATGATGTTTTAGCTTTGGGTAAAAAAGGACTTAGTTAGAATGGCAAATTAGACATCCCTTTCTTTGTATGACGTTTTGGGCAGTAAATACATCAAGGTCCAATAGAAACAGTCTGTCTTTCAAGGGGCAAAATTGTGTTCATTTTGGCCCGAACCCCAACGGAGTTGAGATTATACTAGGGTTGTTGTTGTAATTGTAGATTGTAATAGATTGCCGTTGAGACCTTGAAGTTTTCCGATCATAATGTTGAACAATCTATACCTTCTCTTATTTACTCTTTTCATCTCATAATGTAAGATTCAATTTGGTTTGGCACACATGTTATTTAGCTCAAAAATTTTACCCTTATGTAGAGAGAAAGAAAGAAAATTTGAGCCCACCAAATCAAAAGGAAAAGAATGACATGGATAAGGTCATAAGGAAAAAGAAAACAACTAGGAGGCTTTAAAGTTTAAACTAGAAAGGATAGCATATCTTACAACATGGGATAAAGAGAGTATGATCTTTTCCAAATTGAGGGAGGAAAATACTTACAAGAAAAGGGAACATTATTTCTGGAATGACGAAAAAGGAAAGTAGACCTTACAAAGTGAGATGTAGGGAGTATGAATTTTCTCCAAATGGACAGAGCAAAATGCTTATTTCTCTAAATTGAGCGAGCAAAATGCTTAAACCAATGCGTTCTCCCATTGCTTTGTCTTCCAGTTTGCACCCATAATGTTTTCTAAGATGACATTCAGTAATCAGTATTAATTTAACCAAAGATCACTGAAAGTTTATTGTCATGTTTCACCAGTCGAACAGGAATTCTCATTGCTTCTTATGTGTCACTTTCCCTTGGCGTCTGTGGTCTTACATGGGCTTCTCTACAGTCAACAAACATACGTGCTATGCTATTACTTGCTTCTGCAATTACATGTGGTTACATATACCAGGTCAGTGCTGGGCGTGAAAATGTTTGAAGGCAGAATACTATATATGGATGAATTCTTCCGAGTATATATGTTTTTTTTCATTCTGCAGTGCCCACCATTTCGGTTAAGCTACCAAGGATTGGGTGAGCCCTTGTGCTTTGCAGCATTTGGTCCATTTGCTACTACTGCTTTTTACTTGCTTCAGAGCAAGACTAGGTTTGTTCATTAATCTTATTTACCTTAAAAATTTGTTACAAAAAGGCCTCATGATAATTTCATTATCACCTTGATGGTTGGCAATAGTGAACTGCTGCCCATCTCTGGTAATATCCTTTCAGCATCTGTTCTTGTTGGTTTGACAACGTCCCTCATCTTATTCTGTAGTCACTTTCATCAGGTAAATAGTCGTCCCCGCCTCACTCATATATCTTAAGGCAAATTCATTTCTTAGTATATTATTTGAGTTATACATATATCTTCATTTTCTTGTACTACACCCTTAGATAGGCAGCTTCCCATTCCGCCTCTCTCTATGTAGTATTATAGCTCTTACTCGTAGATTATATAATCCGACACACGTTTCTCTATTTAGGTTAGCAAAACACAGAGTTTAAGTAAATGTAATGTAGTGATAATTTGATTGAAACTATTAGTACGTTTCTAAGATGCTCTCATCAAATGGCACTCTCATTAATGTTAATATTTGGAAAAGGACAAATTAAATTGTATCAGAAGGATGCATTGGAGAGAATAGAGCTAATATGCATAGATCTCATAAATAGCTAGATAACAAGGAACAATTATATAGGAGGTAGTTGCTTAATTCAAACGAGGTCACTAACACATTATTTATGTATCAGGTAAACGGGGATAAAAGTGTTGGAAAGTATTCTCCTCTGGTGAGTTACTGAAGGCCCATTGGACGGAACAGCTAACAATCTGAAGCATGTAATTCACTATCTACTTATATTAATTCAGGTAAGACTTGGTACAAAAGCAGGTGCGGAGGTTGTGAAAGTGTCCGTTATCACACTCTATGCTATACTGATTCTTCTTGGATTTACAAAATATCTTCCTTCTGCATGCATTGTAAGTTTTACCATATGTATTTCTACTCCCTCTGTTTCTCAATGTTAGACCAATTGTGTTTGCACGTGATATGAATGTGCTTTTTCCAAAAAAGAATGGAAACCAATAATATGGATTGTTAGAATACAAAAACCTATCATGGGTCTATAAAACTTACATATTAAAAAACTACGTCAAAAGTTCTACTCTCTCTGTCCCAAATTAAATTGCTTGTTTACTATTCACAGAGTCAAACTTCAGTTTCTCTATTTTCGTTAGTCATTTTATAAAATAATATAGTCATGACACCCCTAGTTTTGTAGAGCTTTTGATGTAGTTTTTAAATATGTAATTTTTATTTTTTAGTTTTACACCATTTTGCATGTAATTTTTTATCAATGAAAATACTCAAATAAACAAAAGATACATTTTATATCAAATATTTTTTAATTATTTTTGTGTTGCAGATTTTCTGTTGCCTAACAATTCCGATGGGAAGAAAGGTGATTCGCCATGTGAAAAAGTACCATGAGGCAAGCCTACAAAATATAGATATCATCATATTTATTTGAAAGATTCACTACTTTTTGGCTTTGGGGCATGATGGTGGGGCATGAAGGAATAAAGCAAAATGCCTCTTTAAACTATATGCGTTTCTTTAAATAGTGAAGTAGCAGTTAGTCAATCCATTTTCGATGCTCATCATAGGTCATCTATGTTTTGAACATAGGGCTAATGACTACCTATGGTGCTTAAGCCGAGGGTCTCTTTGGAAATAGTCTCTCTACTTTCGATTAGGGATAAGATCTGCGTTGTTGTATATTTAATCTGAAATCATCATTGTTATTGACAAGCTGTGCGTGCTTTTATAAAATAGGACAAAGCAAAGATTTTTATGGCAAAGTATTACTGCGTGAGACTCCACTCATTGTTTGGAATTGCTTTGGCTGCTGGACTGGTGGTAGCTAGACTCTTTACGATCAAGTCCAACATCAAGACTCATGTTATCCTCACCTGAAGCATCCCTGGTGGCTGGCTCAAATGAACATTGTATACCGTGTACCTACATAGAGAGCTATGTTTATCCGGGGATGTTCATTTTGAATCAACAGAATATTCATTTTCAACCTATATAATGTTTATTTTCAAACGTAGTGTTCATTCTAGAGCCTGCTCAACATATTGTTCATTCTGAAATTATGTATGTAATGTTTATTTTGAAACAATATATTGTCTTTTTGAAACAACGTAATGTTCATTCTAAAAAAAGTTAATACTACATCCGTCCATGAGTATTTGTCCACTTTTATTTTTATACACCATCCAATGTACTTCTTTAATCCATTTTATCTTGTAATTTGTATATAAAAAAATTATAGAAATTATATATTAATAATCTATATGTTAAGACAAATCAAACAAGATCACACATGACTATATTTATGCTTACACATTGAGAGAATTTGATGAGTCAAAGTACTTAGATGAACAGTTCCAAAAGTAAAAAACGGACGGATACTCCGGGACGGAGGGAGTAATAAGTTTGACATGGTGTGCCAAGAAGGTACATTAGACCATACCATATAATGTGGCTCAAATGTTCAACATATATTGCATAATATGGCTCAAATGTTCAATTTATTTTTTAATAATATTATTTTAATTAGGTGTTGTGAAGTTATATTAAAATAATATTTAATGGTGTTCAAAAATATACATTTAAGGATGAATATTATGGATAAGTTGCCATTAATGTCCATAAATAATCAACCAATGAATTTTTGAGATAAGATGCATACAAGTGTAGTAGAATTTGAACTAGATTTTAACAAATGCGATGCACGATAAGAATATTACTCATTTAATAATAAGCTATGTAAAATATAAATAATACGGAGTACAACATTACTCATTTCAAGATATAACTCTATCCAATTCGCACGATGTTACTATAATTAAAGATAATACTAATATTTCTAGTTTTTTAAAATTGAACAATAGTACTACTTGATACAAATAAAACAAGAATAGTTGTAAATTTTGAAAAACTTCTTTATACACAACATCCCAAGTATGGTTCAAACTAGCACTAAATTACCAGTTATTTACATTTCATTTCTTCGTGTTAATTTTAACACCTAAAAACTGAATAGGGGCATGTCTATCATTTATGCTTGCAGAATGTTTTCATTACACTTGTAAACAATTTCGCTTCATCATTTTAAAAACTCAAAAAGGTTTCCAGCAACAACACACTATGATTCTTTAATATAAATAGAGACAAAACCTTTTCATTTGAATTTAAATAAATTCCTGTCTGAATGACATTTGAATTTGAAAGAGCCTGCCTAGAAGAAGCACACATGTTCATGAAGTAAATTTTTATACTTCATTTTAAACATAAAGGATCTGTATATTTAGACTTCATTTTAAGTACATAAAGGATCTGTATATTTAGACATTATTTTAGATTCATAGTCCCTAGGTGAGAATCAACAACAAAGATGTGGAATTCCAAGAATGGGTCTCGAGAGAGTACCCCGTTTTGCACACCACAACTGTGCAGTACCAATTTGATGGTTTGCACTAGCACACAATGCTAATACGATCGAAAAATTTTGCACTAGCATTTTGTGTCAGTATAAACAATCAAAGTAATGGTACACACCTGTGATATAAAAATTGGGGCAGACTCTTGGTGTAGAAGTAGCTTTATTCTAAAAGGGAAGAAGCTTTATTCTAAAAGGGAAACATATGAACCTTACTCTTTCCTAAAAGGTAGAAAGACTTTCTCCAAACTGACCACTAGTTCATACAGTTACTATACAAATGAAAACTAGCACAAAACCAAAAAAATCATTTGTTTCCAAGAAAGAATTTTAAACTGCCCAACACAAGAAAATCCAAACTAACAAAATATTCTAATCATCGACCTCCAAACACCTATTGAACGACAACCTCATGTCTTTTCTAATTACTTAGACCCAACACTCTATTGGTTGTATGGTTATTTTAGCGGAATAATACGTGAAGTATTCGGGCTTGATGTAGTACCCGAACTGAAATGAAAGATTTGTAAATAGGAGAAAGGAAGAGGCATAATAAAGGAGTGAAATGAGTCGCAGGAAAGGCTGTCCTTAAGACAACATTGGCCACCTACCGCTCTGGTTAAACGTGCCCGAGGATAAAACATTTCCGAGTTAGGCAGAGTTACAGGAGTCCCAGAGTCCCGCCACCCCTCGCTCGAACCCGGGCACGGGGCCTGAGTCCCGCCTGTGTGCGTGTGTGCGTGTGTGCGTGCTGTGCCGAGCCAAGCCGAGCGGCGGCGGTGGACGTAGCTACCCCTTTTTATCTACCAATAAAAGCACTTTCTCATAAAGTGTTCCACCTTTTATGGGAGCATTTAATGAGCTAACTTTCCAATGTGCGAACACAAACCCTATAAGGAAAGTATACTCATTAATTGTCACCCAAAGGGTCTACTTTGAGCATTAATTTCTCTTTCACCGATTAACTATTTTTAGCGTATAATATATCTAATCGTTCATCTCACTTAGTAGAACGTATTTCCATTTTATTTCGGTTCGAACCGTAATTAGGATGCACTTATATCTTTGCTCAAAAATGGTTTCCAAATTTTATTCACACATATTTTTCCAACACTCTGTTTCGCCCAACCCTGCTTGTCCTCAAAGTTACCACTACCCCTAGGTCAATATTTAGATTGTAAAATGTATATTGGGAGTAAGAGTGCCTTATTGGATTGCAAAAAAAAATGAGGCCCATCCACTAATGGTCAAAACCGGTCACACACCTAAAAGAAGATAAATTGAGCTTTCATCACAGGCTAACTAGAAAAGTGAAACCTGTACCTAGTATTTGCAGATGTCTTATGCTTACAATAGTTATCTTCCAATGCAGTTCCTAGAAATCGAACTCGAAACTTACCTCCTTTACGCCCATTGCCTTGCCAATTGAGTCACGTCCCTCAACAACCTCATTGGATTGAAATTGAGACCGGAAGAAAACACCAGAGTGTGAGGTGTAAGAAACATTTGAAAAGTGATTAAAGCACCCAAACGGGTAAGCCCTTTATGGGGTCTTAGACAAACTTGGTTCAGTAGTTTTATAATTTCCCATTTGACAAAGTTGATAATATTAGTACAGCTTTCAAAAGATAGATATACAAAAGCAATTGGATGTGAAGAACTTAATGCTGTTATCTGTCATAGGGGCAGGTGCTCTGCTGCTCATATATGTTATAAGTATTAAGAGTATGCATGTTCATCCCCATAATGTAGAGCATCAAAAGCTATGCATTGCACTCAATCAGGTAAACAAGCCAAGCAGTTAAAGATTAGTCACTTATAAGGCACAGTCTCTTATGGGCCTATATTGAGGAATGCCGTGGTTGAGAAAATAATCATCACATGCCCTGCTAGGAGAAGACTCCATGGTGTTTCTGCAATATATTTCTTCACCAAATCGCGAAAGGTAATTCAGACCCATGAGAAGCTCAACCATTGCTGCTTCAGTCTTAGCTTGGTTTGCAAAGTAGAGGGTCTGAACAAGAAGCACATTGCCCCCGGAAATCATTGGCTGCTTCTCAAAGTTTCTTTCGGAATGCCATCTTACCGTGCCATGAGCAAGCGGAGATAACCANCAAGTTTGCCTTGAGTAAGTTTCTTACACTAGTTGGTAACATACCATACAGGTCATCTCGAGCATCAGAACTGATCAAGTGAGGCGAAGTAGCCAACTTCTCAATGAGTATGATAATATTTGCGTAGTGGAGAGCCAATGCAGCATAACCAAGACTTGATGGGGGTACAGTTAACATCTTATGTTTCATGTTGAAAAAAGATTCTTTTGCTGAAGTTAAGCCCCTAACAAGTGTGTTAGTGTCTTTTGATCCACCTCTATATCTTTGGCGACGGTCATTACACCTCAAAACATGATCATTTTTTGGCACGCAGCTTTCGATAACAGGTGACTCCTTACCAGCCTTAATGCACCCACCAAAAGACGCAATAGGAGCTAGCCGTCTTGATTTCATTAGTGATGGTTTTCCGCAGAGAACAGATGACTGTCGAATAAGTAACATCCTGTTTTTACTGTTACTATGCCCTAAACTTGAAAATGACCGCCCTAGGGGTCTAACTATAGGTCCTGAATAAAACCTGGACATGTTACTCTTAGAGGAATAAAAAGAACCAGAGACAGAGCAGCTGCGAGCTAGAGAGTTGGTTCCCAAATCCCCAGAGAGATTGCTTTCGTCATTATCTCCTGTCTGATTTGTTCCAAAAACAGACTTGATCCTCGCGATTATTGTGAAAATAAATCGAAGTAAAAGCCGGACAACATAGTCATGTGATCTAACCCAAGGCGACATTTCTTGGAGATTCTTAACTTCCTGGCGCTGCCAATTAACCTTGTGCTGAAACTCGATAAATTTGGAATTAGAGCCGCCACCAGCCTGTATCCGCCTCAAAGTTTGCTCAAGCTCTGCAAGCACTTCAAGTTCTTGAGTGAGCTGCATCGCGGCTGCAACAAACCTTTCCATTTTCTTAACCTTCCTCTCCATCTTATTCACCCTATATTCCCAGCCGCTCCCTTTAAGACCCATCTCGACTGGATCGTCAAAAATCATTTGAAGATTATGATACCCAGGGTCTATACACCTCTTTCCAAGCCTAACAATTGATTTTGCAACGCACCCGGCATTGCTAATTACCTCAGCCATAACAAGATCCATGAGATAATCACCATCTGCCGAGATGAGTCTTTGAATACCACGTGACGTTGTAATTTCTTCTCTTAATCTCTGAATCTCTCTGTCACCTACCAGACGCCACATGTTAATCGTCTTAGACATGATACCGGTCACTTCGAATGCCAGGATACCGATCATGGTTTTCTCAGGCTCTGATCCTGAGCTCTTCCCTGTACTTCTCCAGAAATTTCTAAGCCGCGATTCGCTCACAGTTTCAGCACCCATCATACCAACTTGATATATTAAATTCAAACCCTAGTGGGTGTTCAAATCCTGTAAATAAATTTTAAAAAAAACATGAAAATCCAATTTGAAACTTTCCTGCACAAATTACATGTGGTGCTAAAACTAATATGTGATTCGTTCAAAATTGGAGCCACTAGGGGATCACACACACATTTCTTCTTTTACAATTGAGTCGGGGCAGAAATGAATTACCGATGTCGTTTGCAGGGGGTTTTTTGCACACAAAATAAAGGAAGATACCTTGATTAAGTGTTACAAGTTCGTTTTTAAATCAAAAGCACCCATGAAAATTTAGCAAGAATGTCAATACCCTGCACACCTTGTCATCTTGGAATTTTTGATATATTGCAGATCGAAACAAGAAAAAAAGCAGCTTAAATCCTGTAGGTAATTAAAATCTCTTGAATCATCTATAAACCGTTGGCGGCAATTAACCGAATATATAAGATCGAATGCACCAGCGATGAAAAATCGAGAGGCATCGTCAGTCCATAAATCAATCATCGAAGAAGCAGATAGCGGGCGCGATTGTGATTCTGTGGAACGACGACCGGCTATCGTGGCTTTTACCTTTTTACCAAAGACTTTCGTTTTTGTCTTCCCTCAAATTTTTTTCTTTCCTATTTTATGTTTTATAGATATAATTAATTATTAATCGGCACGGGCCACTGGAATCCAGTGGCCACGGAAGTCACTATCCCCTACGGGACTCCGTTCATAAAATTGATGATTCCTACCTCCTCTAACCCCCCGGTAAACCCCTCCGCCAAGTCCCGACCCAAACTCATCACCTCACCTACGTCAATTGCACCTCGTAAGCATAATTGACTTTAAAGTCAATTATGAACGGAGGGTAGGAATCATCAATTTTATAAACGGAGTTCCGTAAGGGGGCAGTGGCTTCCGTGGCCACTGGATTCCAGTGGCCATGGAACCGGGCCTGATGGTGTAAATTACTTGACCGGTCAAACTATACTAGACCGGGTCTAGGATAGTTTGCTTGATTTGGCAAAGTAAGAAAGGTAAAAACACGCAGACTGACCGGTAGGACTTTAGGTGGAACACCTGTAGCCCAATTTATATTATAACGGAGAATGCCCGGGTGCTTTTACAAGGGAGTTTAGAGAGAATGAATTCGGATCCCTCTTTCCGAGGCTTACATGCGTATTTATACTAGGCTAAGGGGACAGGACCACGTGCGCCCACGTGGAGGCACGCTACTGATGTGCTGCGAGGTGACTGGTCCTGTACTGCCTTGTCATCTTGCGTGGGGGGCTGCGCCTTTGTCGTGTTCTGGTTCGGAAATATTCCCTCAGCATCTCCGCAACGCCAACCACTACAGTCCAAGCCTCTTTTGGATTCTTCCTGCCGACGCTCTTCGATCTTTAGACCGGGTGATCTTCGAGGGTTGGTTTGGCTAACTTCGGAGGACGAATTTAGGCGAAGGAGTAGTTTGACCGGTATGCTAACCCGAAGTGTACCGGTCAACTTTCTGGTCAACCAACCATCCTTTTGCT